ACTATTCATATAAATGTAAAAAAGAATAATTTGCTTCGTTCTCAAATGTATTTATACTGTGTCGATTTTAATAATGAATCATTGTTATCGCGGAAGAAGTTTTTGTCGTAGTAACAAGAATATACGTCAGCAATTATATACATTTTAACTTTGATTCTTTTTTAAAACGAAACATCTCAATTCATGTGATTTTATTGAATAGAAAAAAAACTCTCACAAATCTTTCACCGAAATCAAGTGTGTTGATATGCTGTTTGCTATTCGAAATGTGTTTTTTATAAAAGAGGTGCATCAACTAACCGAACAATAAAAAAATTCCTTTTACTCATATATAATATGTAAGAAAAACAGTAGAAATCGGCGAAAATTGATGTGACGAAAAAAATTTGTTGTAAGGTTTCATTATAGTTTTTACTGTTGATGTTGGAAAAAAAGTTTTTTTTGAGTATTGATGGTTTGAAGCAATCAGTTATTAATCACGTTAACAGCAGACATTCAGCTCGCAATATATTTAATATTCGTTAGTCTATGAATATTTTTTATTTTATATCTATTATTCTTACACAAAACGATGATTAAATCAGCAATATTGATGAAAGACGGTGTTCACTTTAAATAACTTTGATTTGTTTCACCATTATGTATCTTTTCTTAAAATATCTGACAGTTTTAATTAGTCAAACTAGTATTTTCATTGTAGTTTCCATTACAGATGAAAATCTATTTTTATTAACACATTTTATTTTTTAAGTATTTATAATTGTATTTTTAAAGCATTAGAATCTATATAAATAAGCAGTTTTGGTTTATAGTAAATCTAGAATTTTCAAGTTAAGATTGTGTACTAGATAAATCACAACAGCTTAAGATGATCATTTGTTCAATATATACCTACGCTTTTAATATCTAAGACAAAATATTATTTAGTCGAGAAAAATCCAAAAACTTTATCATTATACATTTATGAAATTTCCAACATACAAATACGAAGGTATACATTTTCGATTCTTATGACATCAAATACTTTTTGTTTTTTTTTCTGCTCGTTCATTCTCTTTCTTCTTGTTGCTCTGCATGAGTCTTAACGTTTGTGACACGGTAGGTTGTACTGTCGTCAACGATGGATTTTGTTAAAAACAAAATTTATGGAATCGATTATCATTGCGAACCTATACAAACTACATGTAATCGATATTATAGGTAACAATATTATTTTGAATAGTTAGTTCATGATGCCAAGTCAAATAGATACTAGCTGAAGTGGTTACCAAATCGATTGACGTTAGTCATCTCTTCAATGCATTTCTAGACTTAAAAATCTCCTGAGAAATAATATATTGCATTTATTTTGTCGTAGAGAGTATTATAGGAAATATTCGTTACTATGCAAACATCAGTTATAAAAAACAACAAGTGAAAGCTTGTAGGTGGACTACATATGCATCTTTTGATTTATTTTTAAATGTCACGTCTTATGATACAGTTGAATTTTAATTTATTAAAATTTTTCTGACCGTCTGCCATGAAACATTAGTCCCATAGGCCCGTTTGGCGATGTTTGTGGATATTGCTGAGGAGGATAAGCCATATTAGATGGATGATATGATGGTTGTCCTCCGATATGTACAGCTGCAGATTCTTGTTGATATCCAACATTAAGTTGTTCAGTATTGGAGCTTTTATCCATGCGTAATTTAATCGAAAAAATTATGTATACGATGATAAAAATAATATTACTAATAAGCATTAAAGCTGCACATGCAAGAAGACCTTTTAATATTGGCAGTTTTTGGAATGTTCTTGAGGTGCATAGGTATAGATAATTACCATAAATGCTATCAAAATCATAAATATCATGCCAATTGGGAATATAACATAAAGCACCGTAACATAAGCAGGGATTTTTCACAAAACGAGCTGTAAATATCACAAGTATAATAGCAAATACCAAACTAATTGAGTTTTGAATAACTAGATAAATTCCACATCCGGCTGATCGACCACAACATACTAATTCGAAAAAGAAAAACTTGATATATTTATATAGTTTTTTTTTTGTTGAAGTAAAACTTACAATAACAAAACATAGCTATCCAAGTGACAAAAAACACAGATGAACACCATATACCAGCATAAACTGTACCACGACCAGGATCATAATATATACTTACTCCTTCAAGAGCAAGTATAGCAATCCAAAGAAATAATTGAAAAACACCTAATAAACCAGGGACAAAACCGGGTATAAGATCATTTACTGTTTTCTTTCGTGTATGTACCATTTGACCAACATTTGATCCGTTATAATATTGTTGTTGTTGTTGTTGTTGTAACATTTTATTCTATTGTTATTTTTTTCCCTGTCTATAATATTAAATCTCAATTAAAATCTAAACTATGTAAAAGAACAATGTGTATAGTCAAATAATAAAAGCAGAGACCCTTATATTTAAGGAACAATTCGTTTCGTCTTATCAACTAATAATAATAATATATGTTTGGCGAAATATATATACTGAAATTCTTATCAGTAACTACAACAAAACACTATCATTTTGCTCGTAACTTATACGGTGGTGACACATTTTTGTGTCAATAAAAACTCATTTTAAATCTATGAAAAATTCGTATTACACGAAGGAAATAATCATATTAAGTAAAATAAAAATGAAACACTTCTGCCTTTGCGAGTCCAATGACAATGACATTTATCTTATATCAGTTTGAATGTTGTTGCTATTGTTTCCTTGCATTTATTTATTGTAATAGTATATCGATCTGAATATATATAACTACTCATAAATAACGAATACAAAGGCAAATGACGTCTGCATATATTGAAAGTATGATTAAGTATCAGTATCGAAATGAGTATTAAAGGCAAGAGATTAAAAATTTATTGAATTATCGTATATATTTTCAGTGGTAGCAACCAATCGAACCTGTTTCATGTGGTAGTTTTTATTACTTTATTCATGACTAAATCGTTGAATGTGTAAATATACTTATAGATTATCTTTTGTATGATAATTCTTGATAGTTCGTTGAGTTCTCATTTGAATGCCGAGTATGCTATATAATTAAATATGATTTTATCAAATTAATATTGACCAACATTTAGAAAAAGTATGATGATATGACTTAGTTAATGCAAAAAATTTAACTTGATAATTTTTTATACGTAACAGTTTTCTTTATCATTCTGTGATGTTTCTAAGATGTAATACACTTGTGAATTAGGAAATAACTAAAAAAAGTGTAAGATGTTCATGGATATTTTCTCTTACTTCTCTTATCTCTTACATTTATTTTATTAAATAATATATACATATAAATCCATCTGTCTACTCCAATCGATCATCAGCATCCAGTTCGTAAAATAATTTTAAATAATACCTAATTCATACGTGGAAAGAATACAAACATCTATAATAAGATTCATTAATCAATATATTATTATGATTTCACCTTGTTGGTAAGAATTTATTTGACTAGATTTCCTTTCAAATTGATATATATACTTCGTTTCTTTTTCAATGTATTTTTCTTACTAATCTTATATATTAGTTACTTCGTTGGATGCTGTTTTATTCCATTTTGTATATCTAGTCTAAAGAATAATCTTCATATTTGTTCAACATGTAAAAATGTGCTTGGCAAAAAAAGTTATTTTATAAAAAAAAAAGAAATAAAAGCAAATGTAATAGATAACAAAAAAAATGTCATAGATAAGTATTTTATGAGTAATAAAAAACACACGACTGCTGATAAACTTTTTCTTTTTTTATACTATAAAACATAGAAAAAGAAAAGTTAAGTTAAAAGACATAATATCAGCATGGCAGGTGCAATACATCCACAAGATATGACAAGTCAATCAGCACCACCACCATATTCAGTTTATGATGAATCAAAAGATGGAGTACCATACCAACAACAAGGTTCACCCCCAACTCATGCATCAAATTTCGGTAAATTAAGATATAACTGAATTGAATATTTATATATATATATATCTTTGTATACGTAGGTATACCTCCACAACCAATTCCGGTATATACTCAAACAACATTTCTTCAACCCATGATGACTATGCCACTTGTAAGTCGTTCACCTATGCATACGCAATGTCCAAGATGTCATCAACAAATTATTACTAATGTTCAGTATGAAACTGGTGGTGGTACCTGGCTCATTGCATTTCTTATCTGTCTTTTCGGTGGTGTTTTTGGTTGTTGCTTAATTCCACTTTGTATTACTGATTGTCAAGATGCTATACATAGTTGTCCTGCATGTCATAATCATATTGCTCGACGTAATGTTTTCTAATCAATATAAAACAGAAAGAAAGAAAGACGATTTTGTAATTAATTATTTTACTTTGATTCATTATCGAAATGTATTAAATTAAAAATAAAACATTCGATTAAATAATCTATCCTTACAACTAATTTATTTACAACTATTCACTTCTCTTAATATGTTAAAAAACTCAAAGTAGTATGACAATTTCAACGTTCTTAATCATTAATATTTAATGTGTTAATTTATTTTATTTAAAACAAACAAAATTTTTTTTTCTTCCTTAAAATTTCTATTCCTTATTCCATATACAATCTAGTTCTTTGAAAATAATGTCAATAGCAACATATTTGTCTTTTGCCGTTATTAACATAACAGTATTGCATAGTTGTTAAAATTATTAGTTGTTTTTCCTATAAATAAAAGTGTTTCTTTTCTTATCTTACTACATTTGATTTTTCCTAAAACGTTTTGAGAAAGAGCTAGTAAGAAATGACCTCTGTGCCACCTCCATATGGTAAATATAATTTTCTTATATTTATTATCTATCGATTTGATTTTATCAAATAGCTGGTGGACAATCAATGAATTATCAACAAGTACCACTACCACCGCCAGGACAACCAATTTATGGAACTCAGACAGTATCTATGAGAGTTCCAGTTGTTATTTTAGGTAATTATCCAATGCAGTGTACATGTCCTCAGTGTGGACGACAGATTGTTACACGAACAGAAAAGAAGATTGGACTTTTAACTTGGCTTCTCTTTGGTGGTCTTCTTTTCATTGGTTTCTGGCCTTGCGCATGTATACCATTTTGCGTTGATGAATGCAAAGTAAGCATTATCTTTATTTAAAATCTTTATTTGCATTTTATAATTTCTATAGGATACAGCACATTATTGTCCAAGTTGTAGTGCATTACTTGGTGTTGGCAAAAAATTATAAAATTATTGATAATCATGAACTAAGATTATTTTTAATTTCCACTATTTTAATTATATTTAATAAAAAGTGAATATATATATTTTCAAAAATTCAAGAATCAACTTTTTGACACTTTAATTAAATTTCTGTCGTCATTAAACAAATAGAAGAGAATTTCAAAGAACATTTTATTTTCCTTGTTTCTCTCACGTTTGCGAAGTTATACTTTTACTTGTTGAATCATTGAGTGGAAAGAAGAAAAAGAAAATAGAATAGGAAAAAAAAGCGGAAGGAATTATTATAGCTTTTTTTTTACCAGCGTATAAAACGACGAGTGTCGTCAGAAAAAAATACTGAAGTAAAATGAGGAAAGGTTAGAGTTTGAAGATAGTTATTATTCAGAAAATCTTCCTCACAATATTAAAGACGTAAAAAATAGAAAAATGAATAGCGTTTATCCAAACGAAGAAAAACAAGGTTTTCCACCAACTTATGGTAATAAAACTATTTATTTGAAAATATAATTTTATAGAACAAATTATTTTTTCGATTTATAGAACAAGCCATGACTTATCCACAGGCACCACCAATACCATCTGAATTTGATATGCCTACATCACCTGTAGTTTTCCAACCTCAACAACCGCCAGTTGGAATGTATTCAACACAATATATGAATCCAGGTCCTCAAGCGCCACCTGTTGGTTTCTACCCATCAATCGGTATGTATCCAACATCAGCTACAGGTCAAATACATCAAGGACCACAACTTGGTACTAGTATGTTTATAACAACACAATCATTAATCTATGGTGATTTACCAATTCAATGTATATGTCCACATTGTCAACAATCAATTGTTACACGAATAGAAAGACAAACTGGTTTAGTATCATGGTTAGTCTGTGGTGGAATACTTTTATTAGGTGGTTGGTTTGGTTGTTGTCTTATACCATTTTGTATCGATAGTCTCAAAGTAAATAAAATTAAAAATAAAATAATTATTCTTATTCTTTTTTCTCTATAGGACACTGAACATTATTGCCCAAATTGTGCAGTTCTACTCGGTACACGACGACGAATGTAATCTACTTTTTCTAAATTTGGAAATACATTTCTCAATTGTATTTTGTGAAATAAATGTAAAACTAGTCTTATATTTTTTCTTCTTTATTAATTTATTTAAATATACATCTCATATCAAAGCACATTCCAATTAAGAAAAAAAACAGACAAACAGACATATGAAAAGAGGGGGGGGGGGAGAGAAAACTGTAATTAATTCATGTTATGATTCATTAATATTGAACGTTTTTTAATATGTTCATTTTGAATAAATTTCATTTTTTCTTTTATTAAAGATAATTGTTGTTTAACAAGAATAAGATCATTTAATTGATTATGTACATAAATAGATTTATTATCGTAAATAAAAAGCCAATTTATTAAAATAATTTCATCTTTTGTCGCTAAACGAGATTTTCTTTCATGATTTAATATTGAATCATATAAAGACCATCCATTAATACAAGGTTGATTATTTAAATATCCACAATCTGATAAATTATTTGTTAATAAATTTGAAAAATCCGATCGATAATATTCATGTAAATCTGTTAATGATATTTTATTTGAATTAAATAATTGTACAAAAAAAAATTCACGATGTGATAAAAGTAATTGATAAAGTGAGATAAATTTTTCATCAACATTTTTATAATAATATTTATATTTTTTTATATAACGTGTACCATATTCAATTATTTTCATATAATTATTTATTAAATTTAATGGTTGACTATGAAAATATGGCATTAAAGTATTTAATGTTGAATTAAATGGTTTACGAAGATCATTTAAATTAAGAAGAATATCCGATGATGTTATTATATATGGGTATATACAACGATCTAATTGAAGATAACCACCGATTGATGAAAGATCACACTTGAAAAAAAACATGAGAAGAATTATTTGATGGAGAAAAAATAATTTTTTTTTACTTTTTCATCATCAAAACAAAGTTGCCGCTTAACAGCTTGCATTGAAGGAAAAATTGTTGAACGAAGATTATTATATCTAAAAATAAAGAAATCCGAGATTATATCAATAATGAAATTAATTAATTTATATATATACTTTGTGGTTGCTTCGGAATTAATTATATCAATTTCTCGTATAGATCCATAATCGATATCGATTGTAAAACGAGCAAAGAATTTTTCTTGAATATTTTCTGTAGTTGTTGATGTTTTAGAATCTTGTAAGAGTTGAAGTAATTGAAGATATTGATCGATTAATGAACATAAGATAAGTTTGGATGATAAGGAAAAATCTTTTTTTGGATATAAAGTTTTATATAATTGTATTTCATTGATGGTCATTGGTAATAAAGGTAATTTCTTTGATGAATTCCATGTGGAACAATAAGTATTTAGTTCATTAACAACAAGGTCAAAAGCAATATATGGATAGTAAACACCGGATTTAAGTCTGTTAATAAAGAAAGAAAATATATATAGATATTGAAAAAAAAGAATGAACAAACCGATAAAGAATAGGTATTTGTTTATTATTAATAGCAAAATGACCATAATGATTTCGAAGTGTTGGAAGATCAAATGGGACTGAAGTCATTTTTTATTATTATTCTGACTAAATAAAGACGAAATAAAATAAGAATTTAAATCGTTCACTTTAGTACTGTATCTTCTTTTTTGAATTCTATAATACTATCTAGTAGAAAGGGAGAAGATCACACGTATACATACTAAAGAAAGAACTCCAATAATGTTTATTTTTAAAATTTTATATAAAAATAACTTATATAAATTCATTATCAATTAATAAAATATAGAATGATATAATTATTAGTAAATTTATTCCGAAGCTCAAAAGACGACATCTATCGAAATGCTTATTAATTCGATGGATCGATGTAACCAATCTATATATTTAGTTTAACGACAACTGCTTTTTAATCATAATAATAACATAACATTCGACTCATAAATAAAGAACAATTCTATCTTTCGTTACACATATTAATTGCATATTATGCATTCAAGTTTATCATCTATGACAAGTAAAAAATTATGCAATTGTGTAGCTGTTCCACTTATACGTCGACATGTTTCTGCAACACATCAAGCAGCAACAGCTAATGCAACTGCTCGTTCGTTTCTTGTTCGTTTTATTGAAGAACGTCGTAAAAGAAGTCAACAGGATGATATTCGTCTTGAACCATATTTATCTAAAGGTGTTTATACAGAATCCGGTGCAATTCGACCAGTAAGTTAAATATAAAACAAATTTTTTTATTCATTTTCTTCATATGTAGATGCCTAAACGATATCCTCTTGGTATAGTGAAAGTTTTACTTATTGCCATTCCATTTCTTTATATTGGTTCACTTGTAAGCAAATATGCAGCATTAGGTCTTGAAAAAATGGATTTATTCGTATACAGTGATGATGATGATGACGATGATGATGATTAAGAATACAAAAGAAAAAAAAAGAACAAAGAATCTAGTCATTAACAGGAGTTTCTTTTTTTAATTCTTAGTATTTTCAAATTTCTTTTTTTTTATATGTTTATGTATCGTTTGAATTCATTTATCTCATTAAATTTGAGATAAATGAAAATCAAGTATTTATTCTAATAATATTTCTGTTGACAATCCTTTAGAGTTAAATCAATTGCGCCTTTTGTAATGTGACAAGTATTGCTAGTATTTCTATAGCTTGTTTCTTCTATTCGCGATAACAAAATAATATATATATATATGCAACTTTTTTTTATTCATTATTAAAACAAATAATCTCTTTTTATTTTATATATACTCACGGGAATGAATATTATATAGATTAAAGGTTATTTATTTTTAATTTTTAGATCAATTTTAGCTAGTATACAGACTCGTTTACTGGAATTGAAAGGAGAAACTTTTTGTTGATAAGTATTTTCAGATATGATTGTTACTATATTATGGCGTTATTCATCTGATACACAAAGATTTCGTCCTTTACTTTTTGGAATTACAAAACGATATATTACAAATGCATCTCGTGCACCCGCTGATCGTTTTATTCGACAATGTTATTCGTAAATATATATTTAATTGAATTTTGTACAATATAATAAAATTTATTTTTAAAGAATATTAGAAGTCGATCCATCATGTCGTGATGAAACAGTTATTCGAAAAGCATATTTAGAAAAAGCAAAACAATATCATCCAGATTCATCATTTCGTGATAGTAAAGCAGATCATGGAAAATTTAATCAAGTACAACAAGCTTATGAAGCACTTCTCGTAAATAAAAAAATGTTTTCATTTATGATAAAATGAATTTTTCTATTATTTAGGAAACATTGAAGACGGGTGATACATCTGATCCTTCATCAGATGATGATATACATATTAAGTTTGATATTCGTCATACAGCTCCTCAACATCGAACACATTTAGAATATGGAGGATTCGGGTTAGTTGCCAGTGGGTTTTTATTCCGAATTTTTTTTGTATATATTTAATGTTTGTTTTTTGTTTTTTTTTAGAATGGGAACGCCAAGTCAAAGGCAAGCTGCGTACTACAAAATGCGTGCTGAAAAAGCACAAGAATATGTCTATGAATATCGACGAGATCGAGAATCAACTGAAACAAGAGCAGAATTAGTTGAAAGAAAAAAACGAAAAGATGTTCGAGCAACGTAAATTTTCTATTATAAATAAAAAATTTCTCTCAAAAAAACATATTTTTTTCATATAGAAATTTCATTGATCGCCTTGTGGAAGATCTTATTCAAGAATCAATGTCACGTGGTGATTTTAATAATATTCCATCAGCTGGAAAACCATTACATGATCGTAATCCACATTATATGGATTTCACAACATATAAAATGAATGAAATCCTTATTGATAATGGTAAAAATAAACGAACAAAATAAAATTTTTAATTTATTATTTTTTTGATTATCTTAGGATATATGCCTGAATGGATTCTACTTGAAAAAGAAGTTCGACAATCAATTGATAGTGCACGTATAGATTTAAAACGTGTTTTTAAAACTATTGCTCCTGATAGTTCACTATCATCTGATGAGCAAAAAAAATATCTATCAGATAATACGAAATGGACACGAGCTTTAGAAAAATTTCGTACTGATATTGCTGATGTAAATGTTAATATTAATAAACTTAATCTTATTGTACCCATGCTATGGAGACAACAGGTACGAGTAAATGAGATATTACCTTATCATTTGAATTATATGTAGGTACATTATAATGCTGAACAAGAGATTGAAAAAATTCTTAAACTTGATCCATTAAAAATTGAATTACCACCAACGGACGAAGAACTATCGTTAATTCATCAAGAAGAATTAAATCAACGAAATCAAGAATGGATGGCACATCAAGCAAATCAACGGTATTCAATTGGTGATGCAATACGTGATTTTTTTGCTGCGTTTAAAAATTTTAAAGTTTAATTTTTTATTTAATATTTTTCATTGTACAAAATCAAGCGATAATAGTTTGTTTTTCTGTTTTGTAAAAAAGAAATTGTATTCAAGCATATAATTTAACCTTCATATTAGAAGATAAAAACAAAAAACTATAAGTTTTCTTTTTCTTTTTTTTCTATTGAAGATGGATTCTTTGCTAATGGATGGATCTGATCCAAATGGCAATGGTCATCATCAAAATAATAATAATAATAATAACAATAATATTAAATTATCACCTAATTCATTATTTGATCGAGATACATTAGCTACTTTACTATTGGGTAATCAAAGTCCAACATCTGCTGGTGTTTCATCATCTGTTGATGAATGGGCTGATAGTGCAGGAGAATTACTTGTTGAATTAGATAATCTTAGTATGCTTAGTCAAATCTGTGATAGTGTACCAAGACTTCCACCAAAACCCACAGCAAATAATCGTTCAATTGATGAAAATAAAATGTAATTTTTTTTGGTTTTTATTAATTCCATAGACTTTTTGTTATATTTTAGTTCAACAAATGTTCAACAACCAAAACATTTAATCTTTCGAGATATTGTTGCTTTTTGGCAATGTTATGATCAACTTTATATTGAACAATATATGTATGATCGACGATATTCATCAGCTGTTATCGATCAAGCAGTAAATAGTTTTGGTATGTCAGATTATGATATTCTTTCATCAGCACTTCCACAATCATCATCATCATCACCACCACGATTACCTTCATATCGACGATTTAATTCACAACATGAATATGAACGTTTACTTCATGAATTTGCATCAGTAACAGGTGATGATCTTGATGCTTGTTTATCAATTAATAATAATAACAATAATAATTCTAATAATAATAATTCTAATCCTATTATTAATAAGACTGGTAAATGATAATATTCTATCATTTAACAAAAAAACATTTTTTATTATTATTTACTTATATTTATAGGTGATATAAATAATGCAGCTAAATTATCCATCCTTTCGAAACTTTTACCTATGACGACAACAACTCATTCATCTCCAGTATCCACTGATAATGATCTTAATTCACTTGTTGCTGATCTTGATCCACATCCAACACCAAATATTAATGATATACTTGCTAATTTAAAAGCTGGTTTAATTGAATCTAATCTTCATGTACCAACTTTTGATGAATCTCATCTTGATCTTCCACGACAACGTTCATCTCTCACACATAATCGTCTCATATCATCATCAATGATAAATAATATAGCTGTACCAACATTATTTATTAATGAAATTGAACATGTACGTCTTGTTGATTTATCTAAAACTTTATTAAATAATCTTCCTCTATCAACAATAAAACATTATGCAAAATTATTACAATGTCCAATTGTAATGTGTCCTGAATTTGTACGCGATTTTTTAATGCGTAATAATCGACAAGCAAGTACATCACGTTCATGTTTTTGTACAACATTAAATGATGCTAGATTAATCTATACGGAATTAATTGCTGCTAATGTACCATTACCAGCAACACCAAAAGAAGAAGATTTATTATTATTAACTAAAAAACGTAAACATGCACCACCGAAAGGATGGGAAGATGGTTCAAGCGATATGATTATAACTGTACCACAAGTTAAAAAACATAAACCAAAATTAGATTCTACAACAATTATACTTGATCATGATTATTTAAGTGCAGAACAAATGGCGAATTTATGGAGACGTTCATCGAAAAAACCAATTGTTACTATTCCATTACCAGTCTCTCTTCCAATACCACCAATAGAATCTGAAGAAGATCTTCGTTTTATGGAATGTTCTCCTACACCACCAATCTCAGTAACACCTACTCAAATAACATCATTACTTCCTATGCCATCTCTTCCACCGCCACCACCACCACCACCACTACCTCCTCCTCCACCTCCACCAATTCTCTTCAAATTAAGAGATTATTTTCATTCTCATCCACCACCAACATCAACACCAACATTTTATGATGCTTATTCAGACGAAAAATTTCTACAAATTACTCGACATCCATTAATAATTTTGTCACAGACACAACTAGATTATCTACTGGACTATCTCAGGAGGGATATTTATTCAACATCACTTATTGATAGATATCATTTATATTAGTATGTCTTACTGTTATCAACTAATGAGAGAATTTGTTCAGTGCAATAAATATATATATATATGTGTGTGTATGTATAATCAGTATAATACATCATAATAACGATTCAAAAATGAAAACATACAATATGAAAATATAACTTTTGTTTCAACAAAAAAAAAAGAAACAAAAATTCTTGTTATAACTTTGTTTGTATTTATATTTTGTCTGTATATTAAAAGTTAAAATTTCACAGAATGACTTATTTTTCATTATTTGATGTTGTATTATTTGCTAAATTTTCATTAGTTGCCAACACTTATATTGAAAACAATGATTGCAGATGATAATAATATAGCTAATTTAGATTCTACAACATTCGTAGAATATATAGTAAATAAATTTTTACATTATCCATTAGTTAACATATTTTATTCTCTACATGGCTATTCTATAAAAGTCTTGTACTATACTGTGATCCGTTATATCGTTTATGCTAAGTACACGCAATTTGCTAATGTATAACTCATCATAAATACGTTTTATTACAAAAGAAAAATATACCACAAGATGCAGCGTGAAAAACTTCATAATTTACATAAGACAGCTTATTTTACAATTGCAGTTATTTAGTTTGAAGGCCGACAAAATTATGAATGATCATATTTCAACGTTGCAAAATAGTTACATTTTTCGTATGCAACAAATGTGTTTTTTTCTTATTTATCATCTGATACGTTTTATTTTAATTGTGTCCTTTTTTATTTTGAAAATGAAAGTAAAATAATCGAGGCTAAATATAATAAAAAAAGCTGTCATGGTTATTCATTCAACAGTGTATTTCACGAGACCCGTATAACTTAATCCCTCTTCATATTTAGCATAGATAGTTATTTCTTTGGAACCAACATTGAGTTGTCTTTGTAAAATTGGATTTGTATAACCTTCACTTGTGATCCATTCAGAATCAACTTTTAAGCGAACCTCTAGTGCATTTGGAATTACACAGTGAATTGGTACAACTGATCCTTTCTTCAAAATACCATCTAAAGGTGTATAGATTTGACATTTTGTAGTTTCAAACTGAGTATAGATTGTAGGAAACTTCATTGGACGTCGAAGTTTAGTAACATCAAGATTGAACTTGACGACTACCGTACTGGACGATTCACTATCACTAGTTCGTTTGCCAAAGACGTTTAGTTCATGTTAACCTGTTCGTTCAGGTGCAAACAGAAGTTGCCAAATCTTTTTGTCATTGTTAAATTGTGCTAATGATCCATTTTTAATTTTAACATCATTATACTGAATGTCACATGACAGCTGAACATCATCTGGTCCCTCCATAAGAATTTCTGCATACGACCCATTATCATTCCAAACAGCATTTGCACGATCTTTTGGTGCTATTACTTTTAGACCGAAGTCATAGAAAGATTGCCATGTATGCGGATAAGATATATGAGGTATTGGAATTTTTTTGACATTCATAACTAATTCAAGAGCTGAGCTGTACGTACTACTTTCTGAATCATTTCGTTTTCCATAAACTGTTATCTTATGTTTACCAATATTACTTGGAGCAAAATAGCAACAATAGATTTGTTTTTGTCTATCGAATATGACACGATCAGCACCTTCTATCTCTTTACCATTTAGTTTTAAATCAGCCATAAGTTGTACATCAGATGGTACACGTATCAGAACTAATGCATAAGGTCTATCAGGAAGAAGATCGACATGAGCTCGATTATATGGATTAATTAATTCAAGATTAAGTTCAAAATAAGATGGATGAAGTTTTGGCATTTGCATATATTCATCCATTTTAATTGATCTTTCTAATAATTGCCATTTTTCATCTTTCGGTAAATGATCATATATCATTTCATTTGGACGTGCTAGAAAATAATAACCATTAAATTTACGTTCGAAGGCTTTGCTATCATTCAAATGTCCAGCACCCCATGTTGATTCTATTAAATACCAATGACCGTCAATTTCAACAGCATTCCATGCATGGTCTGTCTCAGTGGGTGCACCTTCCCGATAATCAAATCCATATCCTTTTGCATATCCACTAACAACCTCACACAGCATTTGTAGTTGATCACATAGGTATTTATATATATTAGCATAACCAGCACAAACACCTTTTTTTGTTCGAAATACACCTTCTGCTGATTGATCTGCATAGTTTTTTGTAAAATATGATACTGTATCATATGCAATATTATGTGCAATCCAATAAAATATAATCCAATGCTGATCGATTCTGGATTTTCCATTAGAAAGTGATTTTATCATTTGAACAAGTTGTTGAAGTGAATTTGGTTTCCACGATTCGATAGTTTTTCGGTACAAAGTATTGTTCACTGCTTGCTGGCGTTGGTGAATAAATGACTTGTTAAATGCTTGTGAGTCAGCAACTTGAATGTTAATACGATCTTTTAAACTAAGAAATTTCGAAATGATAATATCATCATCTGAATAGGTATTGGGTTGTGCAATATCAGTATCATCTATTGTACCACCTTCATCGTTAACTTCTTGTTTCTTGGTTTTATTTACCGGATGCACTATGTTGGATTGCCTACAGCCCATTTTTTAGTTTTATAAAATATAACTATTCATATAAATATAAAAAAGAATAATTTGCCGCAATCTCAAATGTATTTATACTCTGTCGTTCTTGATAGTGCATTATTGTTATCGCGGAAGAAGTTCTTCTCGTAGTCATAATAATATACGTCAACAACTATATATATTTTATCTTTGCTTTTTTTTAAAACGAAATATCTCTATTCATATAATTTTATTGAATAGAAAAAAAAACTCTCATAAACCTTTCACCGACATCAAGTGTGTTGATATGCTATTTGCTATTCGAAATGTGTTTTTATAAGAGAGGTGCGCCGACGAACAGATCGATAAAAACAATTCTTTTTATTCATATTTGGTATGTAAGAAAGGGACAGTAAAAATCGGCGACAATTGACGTGAGAAAGAAAATTTGTTGTAGGGTTTTATTACAATTTATACTGTTGATGTTGAAAAAAACATTATTTGAGTATTGATGGTTTGAAGCAAACAATTATTAAACATGTTAATCGCAGAAATTCTGCTCTGAGTGTATTTAACGTTCGTTAGTTTGTGAATATTCTGTTTTATATCTATTATTCTTACACAAAACGATGATTAAGTCAGTAATATTGACGAAACATAGTCTTCACTTAAAATAACTTTGATTTATTTCAGCATTATGTATCTTTTCATAAAATATCTGGCAGTTTTGATTAGTCAAACTGTTATTTTTATTAATATGTGTTAAGTTGTAAGTATTTATAGTTGTATTTTTAAAAACATTGGAATCTATATAAAAAAGCAGTTTTGATTTTCAGTAAATCTAGAATTTTCAACCTGAGAATAAGTAGTAGATAAATCACAATAGTTTATGACGATTATTTATTCAATATATGCGTGCTTTTAATATCTAAGGCAAAATATTATTCGGTTGGAAAAATACAAAAGCTTAGTCATTAAATGCATGGGGCGCTACAAAAGTTTTTCATCTGACTGTTTTAAGAGTCCTAGTTCGAGTTCTAATATTCTGTTATAATGCTCAGATACAATCAGCGTAATGGACAACGTTTCGGATTTTTAAATCGTATACTTTGCTGTGATCTATCATATCTTTTATGCTAGGTACATGCAAATTGCTAATGGTGGCCCATCATAAGTAAGAGAACTTTCCATTTCATATTTTGATTCCTAAATACGTTTTATCACAAAAAAAAATATATCTCAAGATGTAGCGTAAGCAGGTCTACAATTTGTAAAAAATAGTTTTATTTTAATTGTATTCTTTTTATTTTAAAAATAGAAGCAAAATTCTCTGAACTACTTTTCGTAGTGTCGAGAATTGATTGCTCAGAATAGTGTTTATTTTGAGAGAAAAGTATCTAATTAACATTAACTTTCCATTCTGGGTCTTCTGATATATTTTTTTTAATAAAATCTTTTTGGGGGATTAAAATATAAAATGCAAAGTTCTATCATTTATTATAAGTTACCTCTTATACAGCGTATATAAAAAAGCATTGTACTAACGTTAAGGAAATGGTGGACAATAGTACAGGATAAGAGTTATAAATGTGAAGTTTTAAACCTATTTTTAAATATATCTGAGTATTATAGAAGAATATATGAACTCAAGCTGAGACTTTCAGAATAGTCGGACGAAAAACTTTTCTGGTATCCCATATGTTAAAAATGAAGGAAAGAAGAGTATTCAATGATTTTTTTGTTTTGTCTAGATTAAATATAAGATTAAATATAATAAAAAAAGCTCTCATGGTTATTCATTCAACAGTATATTTTGCGAGACGCGTATAGTCTGATTCCTGTTCATATTTAGCATAAATAATTATTTCTTTTGAACCAACAGTGATTTGTCTTTGTAAAATTGAATCTGCATAACCTTCATTTGCGATCCGCTTAAAATCAACATCTAATCTAACGTCTAGTGCATTAGGAATCACACAATGAATCGGTACAACTGATCCTTTCTTCAAAATACCATCTAAAGGTGTATAGATTTGACATTTTGTTCTTTCAAATGGAGTATAAGTTGTAGGAAACTTCATTGGATGTCGAAGTTCAGTAACATCAAGATTGAACATAACGACTGGCATACTGGACGATTCATTACCACTAGTTCGTTTGCCATACACGATTAGTTCATATTGACCTATACGTTCAGGTGCAAATAAAAGTTGCCAAAGTTTTTTCTCATTATTAAATTGTGCTAATGATCCATTTTCAATTATAACGTCATTATATTGAATGTCACATGACAGCTGAACATCATCTGGTGCTTCCATAAGAACTTCTGCATACGAAGTATCATCATTCCAAACAGCATTTGCAGAATATTTTGGTGCTATTACTTTTAGATCGAGGTCATGGAAACATGGCCATGTGTACGGATAAGATATATGAGATACTGGAATGTTTTTGACATTCATGATTAATTCAAGAGCTGATCTATGCACGCCATTTTGTGAATGGCCTCGTTTTCCGTAAACTGTTATCTTATATTTACCAATATTACTTGGAGCAAAATAGCAGCAATAGATTTGTTTTTGTCTATCGAATATGACACGATCAGCACCTTCTATCTCTTTACCATTCAGTTTTAAATCTGCCATAAGTTGTACATCAGATGGTGCACGTATAAGCACTAATGCATAAGGTCTATCGGGAAGAAAATCAACATGAGCTTGATTACATGGATGGATTAATTCAAGATTAAGTTCAAAATAAGATGGATGAAGTTTTGGCATTTGCATATATTCATTCTTTTCAATTGATCTTTTCAACAACTGCCATTTTTTCATCGTCTGGAAAATGATGATATATCATTTCATTTGGACGTGGTAGAAAATAATAACTATTTAACTGACGTTCAAAAACTTTCTTATCATTGAATGGTCCAGCACCCCATGTTGGGTCTATCAAATACCAACGACCATCAATTTCCACAGCATTCCATGCATGACTTGTTTCAGTAGGTGCATCTTCTCGCTTATAAAATGCATATTCTTTTGAATATCCACCAACAAGTTCGCACGATATTTGTAATTGATCACATAGATATTTATATATATTAGCATAACCAGCACA